AGGGTAGAGAGGAACTGACTTTTTTTTTAAGTTAAACTGGAGAAGGGAGAAGAATATTTTTTGCATTTGTGTGTGTGTGTTTGTGGTGGAAAGGAGAAAATTTAGAGAAATCTGCTCAGATTAACCTAAAATAGAGTTTATAGATGAAATCTGCTGCTTCCTCTGTTGTTATTACATGAGTCTATTGTCAGGGATTGACAAAAGAGTCAGTCTCTTTTAAGCTATTCAGTGCTAGGAGTTCCCAAGTGGAATTTCACCTCTCCTGTGTGTGTGTGTGTGTATGTGTGTGTGTGAATGAGTGTGTGTGCTGATGACCAGCTTAATGGACAAGACAGTGGAGATCTACCCTAGCTGGGCTAATAACACACTCATGTTCATGACATCAGGCTCTAAAAGTTTTCAAAGGCACCTCAGGCTCTGTTGCCTAATACCGTATTTCTAAGAAGAGCTGGCCTCCAGTCCAGATTGCTTGCACCCTGAGTGGTGAGGGGCACACATCTTTCCAGGGAAGAATGAACCATTTTTGGTTCCTCCCAAGTGGAGAAAGGGAAAGTGGATTATGGTACTCACATGCTTGGGAAGCTGCTCAATAAACCACAACTTCTGGGAAAGAAGGTGTAGAGCTTTACAGAATCCTCTGAATATGAGCCAAAGAGAAAGGTAAAATCAATTAGAACTGAGCCTGGAATTTGGGGACTGAGAAAATAACCGAGTAGGAACTTCAAATTGTGAATGCAGCTGGGACATCTGAGAGGCAGGAACAAGGCCCTTCGCTTCCAGGCTGAGTGCATTCACCCAACCTCACTGGATTTCCCTTTATAGGAAAAGACATTCATGAATAAAACAAAAATGAGAAAGCAGTTTTACTTTCCTTTAACCACACACACACAGGGCCCTCATTTTTCTCATTTTGTTTTCCATGTTGACACTTCGTTACCTGTAAGCATTTTTAAAAGCAGAGGCGGAGTGGAGGACAGGGGAAATGGGTGAAGGTGATCAAAAGGTAGAAAACATCTAGGCATGTAGTGTACAGCCCACTGAGCATGGCTAACAATACTGCAGTGTATATGTAAAAGTCACTAAGAGAGTGGATCTTAAAAGTTTTCATCATAAGGAAAAAAAATGTGAGGTGATGGGTACTAACTAGGTGTATTGTGGTGACCATTCTGCAATATATACATATGTCAAAACTTTACGTTGTACACCTTAGACTTACACAATGTTATTTGTCAATTTTATCTTAATAAACCTAAGGAAAAATTTTTAAAATAAAAGCAGAGGCCACTTGCTGTTACTTTTTGTTTTTAAATCATGACCCCTTTAAGCTCATGACTGATTGGCAGGCTTAATCAGATGCTTATGGGTTAAGGTCCTAAAATTTTTGAGCCATGATGAAAAATAATTCTTACTCTCCCTTGCTTAAGCTGTGGAGTGTTTCCTCAGCTTTCGTACCATGCTAACTCCTAGGAAAAACATTCCTGTTGTGCATACATGGAACTAAACCAAACCAACCATGATAAAGGAGGCCTAAGTAAGGTACCCCCCACCCACTCCTCCCTCCCTCCCAGTTTTATGGTGCCAGTTGCAACTGGTGGCCAGCTGGAATCCTGGGTGGAAGTAAATTAACTGGAAACTCCAGTCACTGGTGCAGTCCCCTGGGATAAAGGAACGAATGCCAGTGCACCATGGCCCCAGAGCATACCTCTGGCTGCTGCCCGCACAACTCAGGGCTCATCAGTGCTCAGACTGGCAAGCACACACACTCTGTCTGCCCTCTGTATATTTGCCTGTAGAATGGGGGCCAGGTCACTAGCTTTCACACTTCTCTGATGCTTTAAACACAAAGAGCTCAGAGAGAATGCTTCCTGAAGGAACTGGAAGAGGTATCTCTCCACCTACCTAACTGGGAATAAATGCTATAGCCCTAGGGTCTTCCCCGGTAGCTCAGATGGTAAAGAATCCGCCTGCAATGCAGGAGACCTGCTTTCAGTCCCTGGGTTGGGAAGATCCCCTGGAGAAGGGCATGGCAACCCACTCCAGTATTCTTGCCTGGAGAAGTCCGTGGACAGAGGAGCCTGGCAGGCTACAGTCCATGGGGTTGCAAAGAGTTGGACATGACTGAGCCTGGCAGATTTACTTCTTGGGAAAAACTTCAGTCTTGGTTCCAAGTTTTCTATAAGTGATACTACTCTATTACTACTACTGGCATAATAGTTTTTATTATTATATTTCAGAATGAGCATTTCTAATTATCTGGTAGATTGTTCCTTTCTTAGGAAGCAGGAATAAATAAAAAGTTGCTTGGCTTTTCAAGACAGAAGAGGGATGGAAGAAGGTAAAAGTAAGTAAATAAAGTACTAGAGACTTTCATTTGGTGCAAAATAACAAATAATAAAGTGGTACTTTAGGATAACAGACTTGCCCCACCGCTAGGTTCTTTCAGAAAGAGAAAGATGAGAGACAGAGGGAAGGAAGGAAAGAAGGAAGTGAGGAAAGGAAAAGATCAATCTTATTGTTTACATCTAGGATTTAAATTCAAAACCTCTTTTGAAATAGCCATCTCTCTGTAGGACACACACTTTAGTCTTGCAAAAGTGAAAGTGAAAGTCGCTCAGTCCTGTCCGACTCTTTGCCACCCCATGGACTAAACAGTCCATTGAATTCTCCAGGCCAGAATACTGGAGTGGCTAGCTTTTCTCTTCTCCAGGGGATCTTCCCAACCCAGAGATCGAACCCGGGTCTCTCGCATTGCAGGCGGATTCTTTACCAAAAGAGAAGTCTGAGCCACAAGAGAAGTCTCTCGAAGAGAACAGAAATTCAGAAGTTTAAAACTTATTGGGAACTTCATGGACCAACTAGAGAAAAGAAATAGGGCAGATTTGTATCCTTCCTTTCTATTAAACCATGCCGTGAGGAATGTAGCCTGCAATAATTTACTTCGAGCAATTTCATTCCCAGTTTTTACTGGTTTTTTTTTTTTTTTATGTCATGTGGGTCTGAACAAAACAGACCCACACTTTTGTTACCTAACACGCCCTGAAGAATCTACTGAATTCTATTGATTTTTGTCCCTTTGAACACAAGCTCATTAACCTGAAACACTAAGGGGATAACTATATTTCACTGAGCCTATAACTGAGTGTCTGAAAACAGAAAGATCCCAAGACAGTAATATAGCTCTCTCCTCAGGATTCCCAATTTTTATTTTTTCACAATTTCGGCTGCAGAAGCTGTGATGTTGCTTCCTTAATCCTAGAGAATCCTAGAGAAGAAGTTTTCTTAAAATATAGCCTTCTTTATTGTAATGTTTAGCAAAATCAGGGGTCCCAGGTTTCCACCGACTTCTGTATTCTTACAACCTACTGGGGAGAAAATGTTAGTATCACACAGCAGTGTTGCCCCGACAGCCAGCTCCACCGCCTCCTCTCAGCGAAAAAAGCTAAGGCTGAATTGAGAAGCTATCTTGGGTATATGGAAATGAGGCCTCCCCAAAACCTCCAGGGACTTCCTCGAAAGGAAAAAGCGATCAGGAAAAAATCAGACAGCACAGACAAGACAGCAGAGGCAGCCTGTTCGACAAGTCTCTCCAAGAAGCCCATTGAATGGGGCTGCATTTATCTTTCCAATCTAGGAGAATGAGAGATGTGACTTCCCCTCTTCCAAAATAATAATAATGTAACAATTATTTTACCCAAGAAACCAATATAAAATGTTTGTGGTCTTGACTTTTATTTGAGATCTCAGATGAGATCAAATGGTCTTTATAAACCCTTTGATTCAAGGCAACAGACTTCTTCAAACTGTTTTTTAATTTGATTTATCCTTTGAAACAGAAAGTGCATTACATTTAACTGGTCTTGCAAAGGGGGTTTTCTTCTCTTTACAAACCGAATTCCTTATATAAATTAATAAAAGTTAAAGATGCTAATATATCACCATTATTAGCTTTAAAAAAAAAACAATTTACATAGTCTATAGTATTCTTATGATACAAAACACTTCAAATTCAATTACAGCAACTAAATGGACTTTTCTGTTTCTGACCCAGAGCGGTTGTAACAATTCCCACCATCTACTTTAACACGCACTTTTATCCGAAAGGAGTTAAATTAAATACAAGCTATCGTAGCCCCATCCCTCCCCAACACTTTCTTTAAATCACTAATAAATAGCAACAAACGACTGTGCAATTTCAGAGGGGGACAAAGAGGCTGGTTGGGGGGCCAACCTGAGGGCCTTCCCTGGTTCCACGACTACTACTTCAAGTCCTGGACGGGGGAAACCGGGCTTGGGGCCAGGGGTCGTCGGGGAAGAGCCGGCGAGGTTGTAGGGGAAAAGAGACTGAACAAATCCAGACCCAGGAGGGGCTCGAGAGGGGAGGGAAGTGTCTACGCTTCTCCAATTAATTTCAAAATAAAAAGGGGAACCGTGTGGTTTGAATTGCTCTTAAAAGCGGAAGGGGAGCCGGGAGAAGGAGGTCCATCTTTTTATACCAAATTCCAAAAAGAAAGCATCTTACATTTTAAATATTCACAATAAAGTAACTTCTAGTCAGTGTGACTCACGATTTATTTACAAAGAGCCTTCAACAGGTTACTTTAGTCGGCACAGCAGTTTGCGGGGGAGACTTGTCCCTCTTCCCAGCGGTGGCTCCTAGGTCCCCCGCGCGGTGGGTGTCGGAGGGTCCAGACCCGGTCTCCGCGCTCCCCGCCCCGGCCGGTCTCCAGGCAAAAGTGGGGGTGGGGGAGGCGCAAAAGGAGGGGGGGGGGACACGGGGAGGGAGACACGGCTGGGACACCGAGCGGGGCCGGAGGGTGGCCCCCTGCAGCATCAGTTCGGTGCAATTCGTGGTCTTGTCTGCCACGTCTCGTCATCCTCCGAAGTCTCTGTCCCCTGCCCCAGCTCCGCTCGTAGGTTACAAAAATAGATATGTACATCTTAGAAAAGAGCGCGGGCCCCGGCGGGCGGGAGACGCGGGGCCGGCGGGCGCGCGGGCGGCAGGCGCTCAGGACGAGCCCTCGGTCTCGGACGCGTGCAACAGGAGCCCACCACCGCCGCCGCCGCCGCTGCCGCCGCCCGACTTGTGCTTCTTCAGCAGCTGCGTGATTTTCTCGTCGTCCGAGTTGGGGTCCAGGGGCTTGTTGTAGTCGTCGTCCTCCTCCTCGTTCTCCGAGGCCCCTTTCAGCCGCTCGGTCTCCGAGTCCTGCTTCTTCTTGGCCGTGGCCATCTCGGCTGCGTGCTTCTTCCTCCACTTGGTCCGGCGGTTCTGGAACCAGACCTGGGAGACCGAGAAAGCGGAGAAGAGGGGAGATTCGGGGGGAGGCGGGGTGGTGGAAGGAATTTCCGCGGAGCAGAGGAGCCAGGCCGTGGGCCCCCCGCTCCTGCGGGCCGCCCCCCACCCCTCCCCCGACGGCGAGACGCGCTCCCCAGCGGCCCTCCCGCATCCCAGGGCGTCAAAGTCGGTCTCCATCGGTCCTCGGATAGGGCACCAACAAACTGCCTGCCGTTGCCATAGTGATAGCAACACAAGAGTATTGAGGTTGTCACTGAGCGATTTCTCAGAAGAGGAAAAAAAAAAAACTTGGAAACTTAAACTGAGTTTCCCTAAAAGACTTCGCTTGCCTACTTTCTAGTTGGAAGTAGAAAACTTTTCCCCTCCGTAAAACTGCCTCCTAATGATTGCAATTCTATTCGTTTTTTAACTTTCTCAGATTCAGGTATTTCAAACAATCTGAAGTGTACTTGCTTTTTAGTGAGATTTGTGGGGAAAGACACAGCATTTACACTAATAACCTCTGTTTTTTTCACTTTTGGATATTTGTCTGTTTCACTTTTTTCAGATCTGAAGACACACAAAAATGGTGGGTAAACACTCCCCTATCCATGTATACTTGTATGATGTAATGTCAAATAAAAAAACTGATAAAACACAAACTTCAAGTCAGTGATAATAACCAACATAAATGCATGAAAATATTTAACCACTTAGTTGAAATCATCATAGTAGTTTGTGTGTCTGTCTCTCTGGTTTAATGTTTTTCATAAAACCAAAGACCAAGGCAAGAATCTTCATGAGTTATTTTTTAAAAGTGAAATTTTGCCAATTACATTATTTCCCACTATTAGCATGCCTGGTCTTTCAAATGTTATTTTAATATTGATCCTTCCTAAGACATTCATTTTTATACAACTATTTTAAGCCTATTCATTATTTTTGACATCATATTTGATACACATATTTTAAACCGAAACCACCAGCCATTAAGTAACCAATTTCCCAAATATATTGAAGCATCCTCTCTTTATACTTCTCATCCATTTTCTCATCTTTTTTGTATTTATCTAGAGAATCAGAATTGTTAAGAAAGAGATTTTTAGTTTCTTTATGCAGCTATAATAATTCACTTCTAGCCACACAGACTTATTTATGGTGACAAATGAAGACCTCCAGACTACTGTGGTAAACTTTGTACCAACCACTGCAAAAAGTAATCTTAACAGTGATGGTACTCTAATGGTCACATACAAAATCACTCCCAAAATGCATTTTATGATGCTTGTCCAGGGAGAAATACTCTCTAACCAGCAGACTTGGCTAGCATTATCTCTACTTACTTTTCAAAGCAACAACATAACTAATAGAAACAGATTTAAACACACACACACACACACGAAAAACTATATATATGTATAGATATCAATATATATATATATATATATACGCACACATAGTGAGATATAGCAAACTGAAGAACAAAAGGGAATACTGGAAATACAGGAAACCACTAGATTTACGGTACACAGCTGTTTCCATCCCTTTATTTTTCAGGCAAAGAGTTCTCCAATTTGATTCCCTGGAAATATACTGTACAACTCAATTATAAGCTAAGTGACATTTTAATTATAAATTGTCATAAACAGTAAAACCTTACATCTATTGATAAACTTCTGTTTCATAATACAATCATAATCTTGTTAATTCACTTGGAAAATTACTACTCCAAAGTGACTGCCTTCAGGCTCAGCTAAAAGCAGATGCATCCATGTTAAGGGGGCAAATCTTGTGGATTTATTGTTTTTTTTTTTAACTTGTAAGTTAATACAGTAGCACTATAATGCCGATCTACATTAGGAAATTCTGTAACTAGTGGAGCCTGAATTGACAAGCAAAAGCTTGAATATCCTTACAAATAGAACAAATAGAAGCTATCTAACTGGCCTCATCTATTCTCAGGGCTGATATTTCGGTAATGCTTTTATTCTTTAATAATGGCGAGTTCCCCCAGCACATGCTGCTATCTAGATTAACCTAATTTCAAAGGCGGGGGGCTTGATTCCTTTTGTTCATCAACAGTTTGCCGGCCAGTGAGATCCAGATCCTTTGTAACTTACTCCCCCCTCCCGCCCCAACCTTCTTCGCTGATCTCAGCTCTCCCCAGGCTCCGCAAACCCGCACCCCTGGGCGGGCGACTATTTGTTAGTTTGGTGTGTGTGTGTGTGTGTGTGTGTGTGTGTAGCCACAGGCGCGCGGTGTACACAAGGGCTCTATTCCTCGAGGTTTGCAAGGTCCACTCACCTTGACCTGACTCTCCGTCATCCCCAATGAATAGGCCAAGCGAGCCCTCTCGGGCCCCGCCAAGTATTTCGTTTGTTCGAAAGTCTTCTCCAGGGCAAAGATCTGCTGGCCCGAGAACGTGGGTCTCGTGTGTTTCCTCTTCCCGTCTTTGTCCAACAAGATGGATCCTTGATCTAGGAGAACGGATTTTTAAAAAGGAAAGGGAGAAGCAGTCAGTTATGAGCGGCTCCACTGAGGAGAAACGAACTCCAGAAACGACGTTGCGGTGGGAACCGAGAGCATGTTCCTCGGCAGCATTGAGAAACGCTGGGGGCGCTTAGGGCCCCACGGCTCTTCCCCTCCTTCGCTTTTTTTACACCCACCTGTTTTTTTCTTTTCTTTTCTTTTCTTTTTTTTTTTTTTTTTTGGTCTTTCAAGCGGGAGTGTTTGGAACTGCAGTAAATAACCTTTGGCCCAACAACGAACGACGCCCAACTGAGAGCGCATCGCTCAAGTTTGCCGAGGCAGAATGGCTAGGGCCCTGGAAACGGAGTGCGGGGCGGAGGGCTGGTGAGCAAGTCCCCTTCCTCGCCCGCCTTGTATAGTTGGCGGCGCTTGGTCTCGGGGCCTTTGCGTGGGGACAACTAATTTTGTTCCTTGAACGCTTTCCTAACCTGTGCCCGCGCCACAAAGGGCGCCTTGTTTTAGAAACACAGGCGAGCTAAGTCGCCCCCAACCCTAACGCCGCCGAGGGGGAGGGGGCGTCGCCTTTGTTGGAGGTCCCTACGTGGCCATCCGAACACAAACAAAAGCGTCTCCCCGACGCCCTCACCCGCCACCCCCCCAGGTCGCCCCAGTCCCGAGACTCCCCAAGGAAACCTCCACTTGGCTCCCCCAACTTCCCTCAGTTACTGCCGCTCAGCCACAGAGCTGAGACTTGGGAAACTTTGGGGGGACTCGGTCAAAAGCGAAGAACTGAGCGAGACAAGGACCGGCACTGGGCCCTCAATGCCACCCGGGAGGATGCGAGCTAAGTCGGTGAGCTGGCCAACTACCTAGAAGATTAGAGTGATCCTGGGCTAACTCAGTTGGTTTCCAGCAAGATCTTTGCGGGATGTTGTCTTCCCCTACCCCCCTCCCCTATCCTCGTCCCGCCGCCTGGTTCATCCTCCGGTTCTTTCTCCTATTAGGATGTTGAGAGCCACGACGCCCCTCAATATGTCCAGGCCCAAGGCGTCCCGGCCCTTGGGGCCGAGACAGGTGGAAAAACCAGGGCCCAGCGTTAGGGAGCGGCCCGAAGTGGCGCCGGCCCTCGTGCACCGACCGCGGACCTGTCTTCAGTGGGCTGCCCTGGGCTGCGGGTACTCGCAGGACGCAGAATGGGGCGGTGAAGGCGATCAGGTGAGGTGAGGACACCTGGACCAAGTCGCACATGCAAACACAGGCGTTCGGCTCAGGGCTGTGAAGGGTTCGTCGATGCCGTTCCCCCACCAGGAGGCCAGTGAGGCTGCGAAGATCGAATGGGACTTTGGCCTGGGACACCGGAAAGCTGGAATGCGGGCGGGGACGCAGTAGCCCCTCTTGCCCTCCGCACCTCTTTAACCCAGGAGGGGCCTACGGTTCCGGGCCGGGCTGTTCCTGGAGCAGCCGGGACCTCGGATGAGATACAAGTCCCGCACGCCGCGGTGTGTTTCACCGAGACGCATGCACACGCGCTGTGCTCCGCGTGCCCGGGACTTGGGAAGGGAGGCCGCCTGGACACACCATGGAGCTCAGGAAAGCAAGAATCCCTCCCCGAACGCCCTGGCCCATCCTAAATCGTGTGATTCTGGCGCTGCCAAACTGCTCGGCCGGCAAGAGGGTGGACCCGGCCGCTTGCACACCAGAGGCCGTGACCTGAGAGCGGGCAGAACCAGCACAAGTGGGCGCAGCAGGCGACTGTACTCACGAGGGGTGCAGGCCAGGCGGGCGTCCCTCCAGGGCGGGCTCTGCATCACTCCCGGCCAGAAGATAGGCGTCCGGCCGGGCAGCTCGGCGAGCGGCTTCGGGTACCGACCCACGGCGGCCACGGCCGCGGCGCTGGGGCTGAAGTAGAGCCCGGGCGGCGGCGGCGGCGGGCTCAGGCTGCTGAAACGGGGCAGGCCGGCCAGGAGCCCCGCTGGCGACGAGGCGGCGGCGGCCGCCGCTGCGGCTGCGGCCGCGGCGGCCGAAGCGGAGGTGGACGAGGAAGAGGAGGAGGAGGAGGACCCGGAGGGCGAGGCGGAGGGCAGGGCGGCCCCTGAGGCCACGGGCATGGAGGGCCGGCTCAGGATGTCGTTAATGCCGTGCGGGGTGGCGGCCGAGAGCTGCTGCGGGGGGCTGCCCAGGGCCGAGAGCCCCCCCGCGGTCGGGGGCTTCAGGCTGCCCGGGTTGTGGGCGCCCAAAGGCGGGGAGGGCGACGACGAGGAGGACGAGGAGGACGAGGAGGAGGGGGGGCCGGCGGGCAGCGGGGGGTAGGCGGCGGGGTACAGCGGCGTCTTCATTTCTGCCATGCTGTGCAGGGCGGCCAGGGGCGGGCTGCTGAGCAGGAACGCGCTCTGCCGGGGGCCCTCCATCGCCCCCACCGCTAACATCCCACGACCAGGCCGGAGCCCGCGGCCACGCAGCGAGGGCGCCGGCCCCTGCCCCCCGGCGGGGCTCCGGAGAGCGAGAAGCGCTGCGGGCGCGAGCAAGGAGGCGCTCGGCGGCGCACCCGGGGGCGACCTGCCAACTGGGCCAGGAATGCCGCCGCCGAGAGTTGCTCTCGGAACTGCGCAGCAGAAATGTCCAAACACACCAGTGGAGAGGCGGTGGCTGGCCGAGACCAGCGAGCAGTGTCCGGGTGGTTTGGGCTGTCCTTTCCCTGATAGAGTCCTGGATTCAATCTCGGGCTCCTCGCTTCTTCCTCACTTTTTCCTCGTCGCTCAAAGCGCGCAACTTCTCATCTTCTTTCTCTTGGAAATAAGCAAAACCAAACCCCGCCCGGCCCCAGAAAGCTCGTAACAAAGTTAAGAATCACCGAATCTTTGATGTGGGGACAGTTGGGGGTGAGGGGCCGGCTCGCTTTCTTCGGGGAGGTTCAAAGGACGCCGGGTTCCGCTCGACGAGCTCCAGTCTTACTTGGATGCCCTGCTCTTTCGGCCACGAGGTTGATTCGCACTCGGCGCGCGGAGCGCGCAGGGAGAGAGCGCATCCAACCCGCGGGAGGGTTGGCCTCTGGGCGGGCTTCCTCCGCCTGCTCTGCCCAAGGCTTCGGCGCCAGAAAGGGCAGTGCCACCGATCCCCGCGGCTCCCAGACTCGGCGCGCCGACCCGTCTTCCCCTCTGCGCCACGGGGTTGCAGAGTTGCAATATTGAAAAGAAAAAGAAGAAAAAAAGTGGGCAGGAAAAACACGGAGAAGCAAAGACTAAGTGAAAAGTCTGACGCCTTCAGTTACGGCTCCAGGCGTCTGTCCACTTCTGCAAAAGGGCCTGGCGACCCCGGCCCCACCCCGCCCCCAGCGCCCTCTCACTCTCCGCCTTTGCCTCTTCTGTCTCGCATTTTCTTCGCGGCTCTACAGGCTTCGCTCTTCTAAGTCCTGTCCTCCGGCCAAGCTGACCCCCTCTCCGAGGCTGTTCCACTACCTCTCTCTCCTCTCCTTGCTCCCTCCGGGCCTGACAGTTCAGATGAAGCTCTCAAAGGTAATAAAACATTTGCATCACTCCCTACCCCTCTTTAGCTGGGGGACGAGAGGGAGGGGGAGATGGGGGGTCCAAAATGAGAACTTTGAAGGACGTCACTCCGAGGCAGCCGGGAAGGGCGGGCCCGAGGAGCGGGGGAGGGTGGGGTGCAGGCCGGGGGCGTAACCATCGTCTCCAATAGCGCTCTGCCTGGGGCCTCGCGTCGCCTCCGGGTCACGCCCACTCGGGAGCGCCGCGCCCTCCGATTGGCTGATGGGGGCGAGCCGTAGGACCGCGCCCGCCTGGTTCCCGCCCCCTCCCGCTTCTATCCCGCCGGGGGGCGGGGCCAGGGGCGGGGCCTGGCGAGTGGTGCGGTTCGGCCGCTGGGCCAGTGGACGCCTCAATTAATTGTGTTAAATAAAATGGGAAAAGGGGCGGGGGGGGGAGCAGAGACGAAGAGGGTATTACTTTTTAAAGAGAAGAATAATGAAAACCCAGCCCTTTTATGGAAGAGCAGTTCATATTCTTCCCTCGCCTCTCCCTCGCCTGCTCTCGTCACCCTAGCCCCCCCTTCCCCCACGAGCTCTCGACGCCTCACCTCGAACAGAGTCTGGTCTCTTGTAAAATGGAGCTAATGGAGCAGGCAGCCGGCGCAGCCCTGGCCTAGCTCCTTCTTTTGAAGGGATTAATTAAAGGCCATCTGGGCTCTCCCAGGATTGTGTAAATTAATTTGTTGCTCCTTAAGCCTTAGAGATGTCCTTAATCCCCTTGTAGGCCGAAGGATCGCCCTATTCCATCTTTGCCACCTCCCCGCTTTCCTTCTCTCTTTCTTCTCTTTCACTTTTCTTTTTATTCCCGCGTCTCCCCCCACCTCCACACACACAAGATGTTATCATTTATAGGTTTACTCCATTCTCAGGGAACGAAGTCAGCTTATTGGGAGCATTTGTTTCTTATGTGATGTTTCAACCTGAGAGCAGTGAACTTTTTTAAACTTTTCTCCCCTGTGATCATTATTTGTTTTGTGTTTTACGGGGTCAGAATCATCAAAATTGAGGTGGAGTCTGGTACACATACACACACCCCTCCATAACCATCTCGAGAACTCTTACCCCTCTCTCAACTCCAGAATGTTTTGGGAGATGGAGACTTCCTGGCTTCTGCGCTGTAATGATGGGATGTCTTAGGGTTTAGGTGTTGGACGGCGGTTTCCCTTATAGCCTCTCAATTTCTTCCATCGCTGGAGATCTTTAAATTTCCAGGAGCCGTTGAGCTGTGTACACGGGGAAGGAAGACTCTTGCACAATTTTGAGATTTCAGGGTATTAAAATAGCACACCATCAAGGGACAGTCACTACAGTAGTTTGGACGAGATCATTAAGTCCAAACTTAATCAGCAGAAAATTGAAGAAAATAAGGAATACTATTCGAGCGGCACCACCCACGGACCGAGTTTGGCGGTGAGAGCCAAAAGCTCTTATTTGCATCCCAGCACAGAAAGCCGAGGGCTTATTCCACTTAGATAACCTACATTTCCGCTGCGCTGATCTTTCAAAGGTAGCAACTTGAGCTTGAGTTTGAGAGGTTTTTGTTTATCTTTTGCCACTTTTATTATTCACTTCTGATATAAAAATAATGTTTCCTCTCCATTATTTTTCATTAATTTCAAGACTGGGCTAAACCCATCACTACACAGACCATAGAATCTGACTAAGGGGAGGGTGAGGTCCTTCTTCAATGTGAATTATGCTGAGTAGGGCAAGAAGAGAGATGATGAGGGGGCTGTGTGTATTTCCCCGTCAGGATGTTTGCTGGGTTGTGGGTATAAACCCCAGCGCCCTATCCTTGGGCTGCTAGGGGAACTCCAGCAGGAGGGAGGTGTGTGTAGCCCAACCCTGGCCCGAGAATTGGGGTCCTCTGCTTCTCGATTCGTTAAAAACGAAACTTTATCTCACCTCGGGAGTCTCCAGGACAGCGGTGACACACAACCCCTCGCCTGGACCCCACGCCTGGGCCCTGAGCGACCTTCTCACCTGGCCAACACGCCTCACACCACATTCTCAGGACTAGGTAGGAATGGAGAAGGAAGGAATCCAGTGATCCCCAAATACTCCAATTTCTAAAAGTGACTTCGCTTTATTTCATGTAAATAGCCTGACCTGGGAAAGCATTGAACATTTTCCTATTGTAAATCTAGTATCTAATTTGGGGTGGGTGAGGTAGAGCAAAATCAGAAAGACCGACCAACCCTGCGGACCATTGATTCAACTCCACCCAAGTCTGGGTTAATTGTCATCGGTAAATAATTGCAAAGCTTGGGTGCCGATTGGAAGTCTCAATCGTTTGCTTTTATTTATCATTCACATTGAGGAAATAAAACAGCAGTGTCGTTCTTAATTGTGGCGATAAAAACATCTGGGGTCTATGTACCTAGATCCCCGGGGGCTGAGCCCTGGGTGCCCGAATCCCGCGTGGGGCAATGAAATTCAGACGCTCACGGCGAGGCGCGGCTGAAGGAAGGCCGGTCGGTGCCTCCTGCCTGGTGCTGTTATGATCGATCTGCTCCGTCTGTCTCCAGCTGGGAGCCGGGAAAGCGAGGGGCGTCCTCGAAGAGGGTGGGCTGGTGGGAGAGATGACCCTGCAGAGCTAAAACCACCTTTCGGACGGCGTCCTGGAGGAGCAGATCCCCACGCGGATGTGGGAGGCGGGTTTTTGGTCAGGGCCATCTTGCACGCCGCATACACACGCCCTGAAGAATCAGGACTTCTCTCGCTCGGGGACCCCCCCCCCCGCCCCCGCAACACCCGCGCGCGGTTCTGCCCACGACCTAAAAGAGCCCGGCATTTCTAAGGAACCCTTGAAATGTGTCACACGTGCTCACGACCCCCTCTACCCTCCGCGTCTCTGCACTATATATATATATGGGGAGGGGGGGATCTGTGTTGAGAAGCGATTGATTTGCATTTTAATTGAAAAATAAATGAAAGCGGTTTGGCAAATTCGGAAGTTGCCCAAAGAGCTACAAGGGTAGGGGTGAAGAAGGCGACGCCCCCGTCTCCAGCCCCTGGACTTCCTTTAAGCCTGCTGACCAGGGCCTCCGTTTTCGAGTTACTGTTCCCAGTCGATTCCTACTATTAGGCAGCCTGCACCACGCACTTAACCATCCCACCCTCAGTCTTAACCCTGGACTCGGACGCCTAGCCAGTTGGGCTACTTCTGTTTTAAATGGAAGGAGCAGCACCTAAATTCAGAGTAATTCACAGAGGAATGCAAATGAAATCTCAGCTAAGTGTACTTAAATTCAGCAGTCTGTCGAGGATGAATGATAACTATTATTCCCCAAATATATTAACGTCAAACAAAGGTCGGGATACTCAAGTGTAGCCACAGGAAGCCAATTCTAAATTCGGAGCGGGGGGGGGGGGGGGGGGGACGAAGGGAATTTTGTGTGTTTCAGGCCAAAACCCACTCCAAAGGGTGTTTGCCTGAATTGTCCGGATGACTTCTTTAATAACTCCACTTGGGCCGACGAATGGGGCTCGTTTGGGCTGAACTCGGGGGCCGGTTGGGTTTACAGTTCCTGTTAAAAAGAAGGGTCGAGTGGAGCCGGCGGCTAAGTAGAAACTCAAGGGAGAAAGAAGGAAGTCCACGGTCTTGGAATCACTCAGTCTCAGAGGAGGAGAGCACTGCCGTGTGCACCTCTTTGCATGCCCCAAAGCCGGCGTTATGGGGACTGGATCCTTCGCCGCTTCTGCTGATCAGAAATGAAGGCGATTACTTGGGAAGGGTCGGGGTACAGAGAAGTCTACAAATGCCGGGTGGGGAAGAGCCCTGGGGGGATCCTGCTGTCGGCCTTGCTCTCCCAGCCGAGACCAACGCAAAATGAGAGAAAGAACCCATCGCCGTCAACAGCCTTGTGGGATCTACTACCAAAA